ATGAGGCACTGATCACAGCCATGCCGATTTAGCGAAGGGGGAAAAAGTTCTGATACATCACATGACGCCACCATGAAAACACGAGTTTGACACCCCTGCTGTAATGTATTCTATGTGGAACTGTTCTTGAACACTGTTCTGAGACCTCAGTTTGTCCAGAATGCAGCTTTGAACAGAATCACTTGGTTAAATCAAATTATTGTGATTGGTAACCAGAGTCAGGGATGTAATTCCAGGCTCAATTTATAGAGATGGGTTTGACCTTTAAAAATCTAAGCAGCCTGTGGATCAGAATTTCAATCATCTCCCATACCGAGAGTCTTTTGCTGGAAGAAAAAACATTTCTTTTGTACTCTCTAGTTGTTAAAAGTACAGCAAATAAAGGGACACAAAAGACATTTTAAAAAGTCAGGTACAGGTCTAGTAAGTGAAAACAGTCCCTGCAGAGTTTTTAGATAGCTAGCTTACAGATGTCACTAAGATCTGTCTCATCATTCAGCATTAATATTGCCATTGCTTTATTTTGTGTTTACTTACTTTTAAAATATACTCTCCTACTACTAATCTAAAATCCCACAGGTGGTTTTTCCTATCCTCTATTCTGTCTCTCTTTTCTCAAAAGAAAGAAAGATTAGTCAGTTCTTTGAGCCTTTCCATTGAACAAATCTTTTCCTGAAAAGATTGGGGTTTTTTTCAGAATTGAAGCATCTATTTCAATTAGCCTTCATTTCCAAACTCAAAGCTTACAGGACAGGTAGATTTCAACTTATGAGTGATAACTTTGAGATTATTCGAAGTTACAACATACCCATCTCCCCAAAGCTACTTAAGTTCCAATGTCACCTCCCCCCCCCCAGTCATGTGACCACATTTTGGGTGCTTGGCAACTGGTCATATTTGCATATTTTGCAAAATTGAGTTTACAGTGCTCCTCAGTCATGTGATTGTGATTTATGAAGGTTTTGCCAGAAACTGGTATTTATTTCTGGTATCTGGCAAAAGCCAGCCCATTGCAAACAATGGGTTTGCTTAACAAACATAGCATTCACTTAATGACTACTGTCATTACTGTGTTCATTTAACAACCACTGCCACAAAAAAGGTTGTAAAATTGAATTGGTTATGACCACTTAATGACCATCAAGACTTACGACTGTAATTGCTAAGCTCACATACACACGCACAATTACACATACACACATTGTAAATGAAATGGAAATAAATTAATTTTGGCCCATTTTCCAACTGTTCTACATTTACTTGTTATTTGGACTATGGCGAAGAAGAGTAAGATGGGGCAAATAGCTTAGGATCCAGTCAGTTTACACTTTGGGGGAACTTTATACAAGATAGATACCCACCCTTACAAATAATAAGAGTTGTGGAAGTCAGCATGAAAGAGAATTCAAAACTTGATTTCCCTCTACAAGTTTGCAGTGTGATATGCATCTTGTCCTTGGCCTAAGGATGTTTTTCTGAGAAATGTTAAGATGGTTCCATGAGCAAATATAATCACATATCATTTTCATTCCATCTTTTCTCAGCATTCATCATCTTTTTCCTTTTCATGTCTGAAGCAACTCAGCCAATTCAGGTCCTGGAGATCTGGTTTTTGGTTCAACTTGGACTACAGAGATTCTGCATTGATGGACAGCAATGAATAAATATTTTTTGATCCTAAAAAAGCAAACAAATCATTATTTTTAACTATTATAGCTTATATAACTAACTTAATGTGCTGGAATGTCAGGGAGACTTAGGGACGGGGGAGGTAAAATACGTAATTTTGGATTTTATCGCTGTGTGTTAGTCTTATAGACAACTTGCAATGCTTGTAAGCTTGACCTTACAATTGTTCTCTCTAAGTGGCTGGATTAATGTTTGCTTAAATAAGAATTGCTTTTGCATATACTGCAGTTGAATTGTCTTTTTCTTTGTAGAAATATCAGTTTTAAAAAACAACTATTTTTAAGTCCTTGGAACTGAATCTCATTTAATGGGATCTTTTTCTCCCATTGCATGCATTTCAGGGTTTTCTTTTCTTTCAGCTTAAAACCACAACCATGACAACTCCTGTAAAGTTACGGGAAAAATCAATAACAAACATAATAGTCTTTCAGCGAAATTGCTGCAATAACTTGGTAGGGAAGGAAAAGCATTAAGAAAGATTTAATGACAAATCCTGCATGCACCAGGTCTGGCTGTTGTGTTAATTTCTAATTTCAAAATATTCCCAAGACATTGTAGAGATCCTTGGTTTCTAATATTAAAACATGGGGACTCTACTGTCCACAGTACTGCAGTTTATTTTGCAAATGGTCAGTACCTGAAACATGCAATAAGGGTTAGAGTTAGGACTGGACCCAGGGAATAAATTTTAAAAATGAAGGTACATATAATCTATACATTTTAATTGCTTTCCTATATATATGCATTTAATTGTAACAAACAGCAATACTGAATTATGTCAATTTGGCATTTTTACTATTCCATCGTGATTTCTGTAATGAAAGAGGGGAAAAGACTGGTGAAATTAAAAAAAATATGTTCTTAAATCTAAAAAAAATATATGAAAATATAAGTTTTATTCCCATGGAGAGCATTGAAAGCTATCTAGAAGTAGCTTCCAGAGGAAGTCTCAAAGATGCTATTGTTTTACCGTCAAAAGGCAACTGGACTGCTTTTTCCCCTGAGGAAGAAGAACAAAATGTTTTGCTTCTCATCCAAGAAGCTTCATCGGTTGTGATGGCAGGGGAGGGGGGAGATGGAAGGATAAGTACTGACAATTGAGACTGGATGGTGGGGAGATGGAAGGATAGGTTCTGATCAGATGGCAGAAGGGGGAGATGGAAGGATTGTATTTCTTTGCAGTCATCTGGTTGTTAGCACTCTCCCTGAGAGCTCTTGAGGCCACCTGAGGGTTTATCTTTGCCTGAATCACAGTGCAACTGGTTGTGAAATCTTCTTGGAACCACTGCAAGGTCTGCATTGCAGACTGGAGATAGGTGGTGACTTATCCCTCCCCCTCTGTTGAAAAAGAGTAACTCATAAATAGCCTCTGTACCCTTCTTTCAACCCAACGGTCCTCTCTCCAGAGGAAGGGATGGACCGAAGGCAGCATCACTCCAACACTTATGGGAGATCTCAAGTCCTCTCCCTGTCTTGACAGGAATGATCAAAGAGCCCATTGCGTGATCTTCATCCCACAGCAATCGTCAACTCTGATGACTGCTGACAGAATGAAGAGCTGATTGGTTGCTGTGGAATGAAGAGCAGAATCGGATCCACACATCTCACAGCCGGTGAGTTTCCTACAATCCTTAGTGAGGGAATGTTTTAACAAGTTTAAGATTTATTTTTTTTAAGTTTATAATAGATAGCAAAAGAGTGAGGCTCAATGTTTTGAAAACTTGCAAAAAAAGGGGAAAAAATGAAAAACCAAGCTAAGACATTATTTGAATGGACTAAAGGTTAAGATAAAGTTGATTGATCTGATTAAGGTTAAAATAAATATGTTATTATTTCTGGCAACAGTTAATAAACTTGCTGACAATGGAACTGAAACGACAATGCTTCATGGATATGTTTATAGGTAAGAGATGGGATATGGGAAGAAGAGATTGTTGTATTTTAAGAGGAAGTGATAAGTTACAATAATTGTTTATACTTATGATGAAAGTGGGAAATCACTTCCTTATATTTTTTTTCTTTTTCTTTACTATATTCCTAATTTGCTTTCTGTTTCTTTTTTTCCCTCTGTATCTTCTGCTCTTTATTCTTCTGTCTTTCTTAGTCTAATTTTTACTCTTCTAATTATAATCTTTAATAAAATTACTATGTAGCAAGCTAATGAGATACTCCCATTAATAAAACATTTAGACATAGATCTTGGCTTGGTTCACACATTGTATTAAGCATGATTTGTTTGGCTTTCATTTTACGTGTTGCATGAATCTCAAATAGTTATTTATTTATGAGTAGTTATTTATATAGTTTACATCATTGCATATTATATAAGCTAGCCTACTGTGATTTATTTAATTTTAAAAAAACATGGCATGGGGTAATGTGACTGAAGATGAGTTTTCACAACTGGAGTAGTCCATTGGATTCAACTGAATTCTTGCTGGTTTCAGTAGATCTGCTCTCATTATATGCTTGCTTAGATCCAAATCTTTAAACTTACACATGGAAAAATTAATGATCTATTGAAGTTACTTATCTGTTTGCAAAATAATCAAGGAAGATTATCTTCTTCAATAAGATTTCATCTGCAAAGGACAGTGGGATGCTATTTTGTCTATTCCCCATGCCAGAATAATTTTGAAACTCACAAAAAGCAGTCAATGAACCCCAAATACATATAATCTTTTTCAGTTCTGTTGGGATGTTTTCATTTTACTTGAAGTGACATGCACTGATTACAGTGAGAAAGTCTGTGTTAAACTTCAATAAGAAAATAATCTGAATCCTTTCTTCTGAATAGATTCTCTCCGTTGGTTAATAATTAACATTTCATTTTATCTCAGTTGACACACTTCACAGAAAATTGGAGCAAGCCCACAGTATCTGTAGCTGTGTTTCAAAAGCCCTGTACTGCATTATGCCACTGTATTTATACAAGTACAGATGCACACAAAGATGTTCAGTGATAAATGAGTATTGTGTATGTTTGCAAAACTAAATCAGGGTTGGAGAATAGTTGAATGGCTGTTCAAACACTTTTCATTCAGATTTGTCTGGATGGAACTCTGAACAATTGCCTTTTTAGTCAACTGCAAGCATCATTCCTAGGTAACCAGCACAGGTAGCTAGTTTAGAGAACTATGTGCAGCTACAGACTTTTTTTTCAATATCTCTTTGGGTTTCCAATTGGAAAAGAGAAAGCATGTTAAATCAAAGTTTCTTATTGCATATAATTTTTCCCTACATTCAAGCAGATGCATGTACAGTCCCTGTGTAGAATTTCCCCCTCAGTGAAGGGAAGTTGGAGACTATAGACAAGTATGAATAAGGTAAATTGTCTCTTAGGGGTATTGCATTTGGGCAGATACAGGTACCAGTTTTTTGTGGTTTTGCTTTTAGACCTTTCCAAACATTCTCATTATTATTTTTTAGCATTTGGTTAAAATTGATTTATTTACATTGTCAAGTTTTAAATATTATTTAGGAATAGTTTTTTATTGGTTCAGCTTGATTTTATCTTTATGCCATATAGTTTCCCAATAAACCAATGCCTTTATTTGTAGCATTTACAACCTTATTATGTTTTGTTCTTTAACTCTATTCCCTGATTATTCATTTATTTTTGTCTGCTTTGAAAACATCATACCCTTGAAAAATCTATCTGGTACCTAACCATAAACTGGATTTTAAATGAAATCCTTCAGTATGGTGCCCTTTAGAAAAATATAGTTTATTTTCCTATTCATCTCCCAACTGGCATGGTTCACATGGTTAACAAAGTTTAGCAACTCTAGGAATCATTAAATTAGTTAAGGATGTTCTCTATGAAAGCATCTAGATATTTATTCATCCTTTTTTTTCTTATATTACCTGGATCTGATTAATCAGATTGCCATTACAATATTGCTAATAGGTGTCATTGAAAATATGTAAGACAAGTAGAATCATAGAAGATCTTTTCTACCACCTACAACTTGGCTGAGAACCATTGGAAAGGATAATTGAGTGTAGGAAATAGTGTGGTAATACAAGTTTAGTTTTATTCAAAGGTGAATCATTCTTCGCCTGTTGTGGAAGTTCTGCCACTTACTCTGCTGAAAAAATTGATATTTTAGGATCTTCTGATTTGAATACAGAGCTAGGTTTTATGGGATATAAAACTCCATTTGGATCAGAGATGGTATTCAGCAGGTGCTGACCAGTTCTGGAGAACTGGTAGCGGAAATTTTGAGTAGTTTGGAGAACCAGCAAATACCACCTCTGACTGACCCCATCTATTCTCTGCCTCCTGAGTCACAGCTGATTGGCTGGGTCTTCTTTTGTTGCCCTACACAGAAGAATGGAGCTAGAAAGCAGGTTAGTAAGGTGGGGAGGGAATGGGATTTTGCAGTAACCTTCCCCCAGGAGTGGGGTGGGAATGGAGATTTTACAATATCCTTCCCCTGCCACGTCCAACAAGCCACACCCAACAAGCCATACTATGCTGACCAAGCCACGCCCACAGAACCGGTAGTAAAAAAAATTGAATCCCACCACTGATTTGGATCTGTTTGTTTGCATTACTTTCATAGAGTTTCACGCACTGATGAAGGCAGGATGCTTGATATGAACTAAAACCTACATTCATCCAGATCTGCAATAATCAGCAATTTAGTTTAAAGCTGTATATGCTGTCAGTTTCCATGACTTTCCGTCTTGTGCATTGAGAATTGTTGGGTCTTAGCTAGATGAATCAGTTGCATCAGTGGTGGGATTCAAATTATTTTACTACCGGTTCTGTGGGCGTGGCTTGGTGAGCGTGGCAGGGGAAGGATACTGTAAAATCTCCAGTCAGAGGTGGTATTTGCTGGTTCTCCAAATTACTCAGAATTTCTGCTACCGGTTCTCCAGAACTGGTCAGAACCTGCTGAATACCACCTCTGTCGCATGTTACTTTTTGTGGAACTATGTCTTGGACCTTGCTGTCTGATGTGTGTGAGGAGGTTCTAAAGACACCTGAAGCTTCTTTCTATGATCCCCACAGGGTTTTGGTTTTAATTTTCTCAGACAGCATCTTATCCTTTTACAATATTGAACAATTAGTTGAAGTTTTAAAGGAATAAAATGTCAGTTGTAGAAATAAAACCAAAACTTATTAGTAGGCTATTGACCCAATAGTGAAAGAAGTTGCAGCAACTAGTGGAATTAAGAAGTGCCTTCTATTTTTCCATTCAAAATCATCTTCTCCTTCCGTTTTTGTGTAGAAAAAAAAAACTTGTTGGCAATTCCATGAAAAACACAGATTTCAAATACCAGTTTTGCTCTGGATTAAAAAAAAATATTTAATTGAAAAGTGTATCAGGGGTTCTTTCTAAACTACTGTATATGATCAAAGCACATGTATACTCCTAGCTGTAGAACTAGTTAATTTTGTTTGTTATAACAAATAGTCTAACCAGCTAGGGGATTCTCAGGCACAAAACTATCTTTAGAAGTTTTGGATAATTTACCCCCTCCCCCTAAGTTACAGGAGCTAAAGCAAAGAATCTTCTCTTTTCTTTCTGTTTCAGTGTTGTCTGCAGGCCAAATTAGCCCCATCTCTACTGATCATGGTCAACAGGAGGTTAAACTATTGGGATTCTGATTTTGAGGATGAGGTCATCAACATCAATGTTGGGGGCCTGAGAAGGAGACTCAGTTCGAGTGCCCTCTCCAAATTTCCTGACACTCGGCTCGGGCGCTTGCTTTCCTGTGACTCTGAAGAGTCCATCCTGCAGCTGTGTGATGATTATGATGTGAGTGCCAGGGAATTCTACTTTGATCGGAATCCTGGCTTCTTCCTATATGTGCTCCATTTTTACCAGACTGGCAAACTGCATGTTATGGAGGAACTGTGTGTCTTCTCCTTTTGCCAAGAGATAGAATACTGGGGCATTAATGAATTCTTTCTGGATTCCTGCTGCAGCTATCGCTATCATGAAAGGAAACTGGAGAGACATCATCACAACTGGGATGAGGAAAGTGAAGTTAGCAGTGTGGATACATCCCCAGATGAGATCTTAGATTTCAATCATGACCTGCTTCGCTATAGTACGCTCCGCTGTGGCAATCTGCGGAAGCGCCTTTGGCTCACCATGGAAAATCCAGGATACTCCATCCCAAGCAAACTCTTCAGCTTTCTATCTATCAGTGTTGTGCTGGTTTCCATATCTACCATGTGTATTCACAGCATGCCAGAATACCAGCAGCTTGATGAGGAGGGCAACTTGAAGGATGACTCTGTGTTGCAAAACTTGGAGTATTTCTGCATCTCCTGGTTCACATTTGAAGTTACTGCCCGCTGGCTTTTGGCTCCAAACTTGAGGAAGTTTTTCAAGCATCCCCTCAATTTGATTGACATTATCTCAGTGTTGCCTTTCTATTTCACCCTCTGGGTAGACGTGACCACGGAGACAGATTCAGAACTGGGAAATTTGGGTAAGGTGGTGCAAGTGTTTCGTCTTATGAGGATATTCCGAGTGCTTAAGCTGGCAAGGCATTCAACAGGTCTGAGGTCTTTAGGAGCAACCTTGAAGGTAAATGGGCTTCAGCGCATTTATGTTTATTTCATATTTCTAAGGAAAAAATAATCAAAAGAGTAGCCCAAAGCACTTTTGTCCTGTTTCAATCTTAAGTTTGTGTCTGATTTCAACCTGGTGAAATTACTCATGCTTTTGAACTTTTTAAAGTTCAGTTACAATAATGGATTATTGTGTGATTATGTCCCATAAAATCATGTTGACTTTTAGTGATCACATAGATATTCTCTAAGATGATCTGGCCCTCACCTGCTTTTTGAGGTCTTCCAATGCTACAGTCATGACCACTCTTGAGTCCATCCTCTTTGCTGCTGATCACCCTCTTCTTTTTCTTTTCACTTTTCCCAGCATTAACTTGACTTTTGCTAATTTTCCAAAGTATAATAATTTGAAACTGGTCTTTTGTGTCTTCAGTGAGAACTCTGGGTTGACCTGTTTGATGTTCCATTTGTTTGTTTTCTTAGCTGTCCACAATATTCCAAGGAGTCTTTTTCAATACCAAAGTTCAATAGCATCAATAATCTTCCTACCCTGTTTCTTCAAAAATCCAATACTTTCACTTCCATAGAGTGTTACAGGGACTATCATTGCCTGCCTTATTCTGATCTTTGTAGATATAGATTCATCACAGCACCTGGGTATCTTTTTCAAAGACTTCATAGTTGCTCTGCTACTCTGTAGTATATTTTCTGATGGCTGATCCTTTTACTGCTGATTGTTGATCCCTAAAAAAGTAGAAGTTGTCTAACTCTTCGGTATCCTTGTTATCAGTTTGAAAACTGGTTGTAGTGCCAGATAATTTTCTTTAGATATATTGTTAGTCATATTTTTTACTTTGCACTTTGATTTTTATTGCTAGACTTTGTAATTCCTTTGGACTTTTGGCTTTTAACAGTGGTATCATTAGCATAGCACAAGTTGTTGAAGTTACTCATCTTCTTTCAATCCATCTTTCCTTAATATATACCTTACAGATTGAATAAAATGAAGAAGGTATACAGTCCTGTCCCACTCTCTTGTCACCTTGAAGCCACTCTGTTTTGCCATGTGTTGTCTATACTGTGGCTTCCTGACTTCCGTGTGGATTTCTCATGAGCACAGTAAGATGCCCTGGGATTCCCACATTGTGATCTCTCTTTGGTATTCTTTGGCATTCTCAATTATACATCATGAATCAGCAATAATGTCTCAACTTCCTTGGCTTTTTCTAAATCCAATTTTTCTAAATTTTCTAAATTAGAATTTTTCTAATTCTAAATCAAATGCCTGGTTTCTCTTTTTCCATGTAGGGCTCTAATCCTTATTTGGATGATCCTGACCATTATTTTGCTAGTATGTGAAATGATAGGTATTGTATGATAATTTACATACTCTGTTAAGTCTCTTTTTTTGGATATTGGTTTTTAGATTGACCTCTTCCAATCAGTTTGCTGCTATGTCATTCTCCAAATTTGCTGGCAGTTACTGGCAAATTAGCATGCAGAGTTGTAAAGTCCAAATGAGTTGGAAATCCAGTATTCCTTGCCAAACAGACAAAACTATCTTCTGTTTCCATAGTAAACCTTGTTCCTATCAATAATTCCCACCTATTTTCAACATCTACATTTCCTTCAGGTTTGTTTATATCTGTCTAGCATCATCTCCACTGCAACCCTTCCTAAAACAGAATGGAATGCGATAGGATAGGATAGGAATCTGTACTATTATATCTGTCCTTGCCTCTATATATGGAATTAATGTGAAATACTCCTGTATTCTGTCTGGCCTCCAAAAGGATTCTTTGTTTGATTTATGTAATGGCAAAATTAAGCTCTTAGCATGAAATATGAGCTAACATGGCCTGTTTTAAATGTAGTATTTATACATATTAAGCTCCCATACCTTGCAGAATTCAGTGAGAGGTTTTTATTGTGGTCCTCTGCAGTTGGCTGTATTTATGTTCAGGCTTTTGCTTCCTTACCATTAAAAAAAAGAAGATTTGAAGGAGGAAAGCGGACAGTATTGAAAGGGGGGGGGATCTTGCAGACCTTGAACTTTCCATCTTGATTCTTAAAACTTACGTTCTTTGATCAGCTTGGTTGATTGTAGCTCATTTATTTATGGGCTTGCTGCCAGCCAGACTAAGGCTAACCTGCAAGAGCATCAGCTGGCACCAGGAGTTTCAGGGCCAGCTGATGTGACTGGTTGTCAGAATAGGTGACTGAGAAAGGTGATGTCTTCTCAGAGCAGAGAGCAGATTTAAGGGACTGACATTTGTTTTGCTGTCTTTATCTTTACTGTTTGCGTCTAATGTTCCGTAAGTCTAGAAAAGTCATATCTGCTTCAAAGAACGCTAATGAATTCTGAGAGAGACTCTAGCTGGTATTTAATCAAGATATGATGTGTAGAAGGCTAAGACACTGTATCTGGCATTCCAGAAAGTCCCAAGGGATTGCTGTAGTCTGGGACCATAAGCATCAAACAACTGGAAAGAATAGCTAAAGATAGTAACTATGAATGTCTTCCTTCTGACTTCAACTTCACAAGCTCTCTCGTAGCCTCTGAGATGCCTCCAATCTCGATGAAGGAGGGGGGGGAATCAGTTTGATGCTACTGCACATTTACGTTCACTTTGTGCAATTTGTTGTGCAATGCCCACTAAATATTCTCCTTTGCGTAGTCTCTGATAACCTAAACTGCCACTTCTTTCACCCAATCATATACCTGAAATTCTTTCTTTCTTTCTTTCTTTCTTTCTTTCTTTCTTTCTTTCTTTCTTTCTTTCTTTCTTTCTTTCTTTCTTTCTTTCTTTCTTTCTTTCTTTTCTTTTCTTTTCTTTTCTTTTCTTTTCTTTTCTTTCTTTCTTTTTAAAAATTTACATACAGTAAATAAAGCAAAAGTCAAATCTTAAGAAAAAAATTAAAAAGGAAAAAGAAGGGAGGAAAAGGGTGCCAGAAAAATCTGTGTACAAAATGTAATGGCTTCCGATCTTCTCTTCAACAGAGAATTACAGTCTTATAATTCTCCCTTCCTTCTTGAATGTTATACAAATGCCTTGGACTTCCAACTTGTTCATATCTTTTTAATCCTCAAACCCATAAATCATCATAACATTTTTTCTTCTTTCAACAAAAAGCCCTTGTAAAGTTTCAGGTCCTTCAGAAAAGTTTGTGTTTGCTTATTTATTTACTAAATGTATATGTTTGTTGTTGTTTGCCTCTCTCACCATATATACCTGCAGTTCTGATTGCCTTCCCACCCAAGAAGCTTAGTGGAACACCATTTCCAAAATGCATCCACAGAACATAGAAGCAGGACATGAAACAGCAGGCAGCATACACTGCTTCCTCTGTCAATGCCAGTTGGAGCCACACCCCCATGTGGGAAGGGAAGCCCACCTCTCCTTCTCTAGGGCAGAGTTCTCCAAACTTTTCGGCTTTGCGGACTGGCAGGTGGGGGGAGAAGGGAGGGCACCACACAAGTGGTGAGCACACCCATGCTCGTAGCTCCATTTGCACGAGCGGCAGGCACGCACGTCTGCCACTTGTGCAAATGGAGTGTGCGCACACACGTGCTCACCCGCTGTTCATGCAAGTGGGGATGTCCACAGGCTCAATTGCCCACCACTTCTGTGGCCCGGTTTCAAAGAGCTCACGGTCCAAAGGTGGGCCACAGCCTGGGGGTTGGGAACCCTTGCTCTAGGGAAGGGGTTTCCAACCTTGGCAAAGCTGGCTGGGGAATTCTAGGAGTTGAAGTCTGCAAGGTTTAAAGTTGCCAAGGTTGGAGACCCTTACTCTAGGGAAGGGGTTTCCAACCTTGGCAAAGCTGGCTGAGGAACTCTGGGAGTTGAAGTCCACAAGTCTTAAAGTTGTCAAGGTTGGAGACCCCTGCTCTAGGGGACCTCAGAATTACAGTAAACGTTCACCAAAATGTCACAGACCATTGTGAACTAGAAATGTTCATTGCCCTTCTGGAAGGTGAGGACAGTCAGGCCTGACTTTCCCAACTCATTTCCCCCAGTGAGACTGTTACATTTTATTAATCTAATTTTTTTTCAATAGTTGGTTTTCACAAACCAGATGGAACCAATATCCCCAAGCCTAATGTCTGCTTGATATGTTATCTAGAGCGTGATGTGAATGGGAAAAGGAACAGATGGGATGCCATGCCACCTCTGTTTAAATCATGCATGATCCATATGTGTTCGTGGAAAGTGATTAGTGCTTCTGCTTCGTTTCATTTGGAGGTGGGGCCTTTAATGGGGATAGTTATAGCATGGAAATTTGAGTGTCTTTCCCTATCAGTCTAATTCTCAGTCATTATCCTCATTCATCAGTCATTAACGAAACTGCCTGAATGAGAGAAAAAACATCATTTAACCTTTTTTAAAAAAAATTGCAGTAAACCTCAACACTGAAAATGTATGTTCTCTCTTTCTTTAATCCTTGTTTGGAATAGAAGATGAAAAAATTTCTCCCACTCAATTCAGTAAGAAAGCAGAACAAAATATTTTAAATGTCTGAGCATCTCACATTAAACACATTTATGTACACATTAATCTGGGTGAATTTGTGATTGGGATAAAAAAGCCCTTAAGTCAAACTCAGTTCCTAGTCTACATACCTATTCATTTTTCATGCACGATTATGGAAGTGATTTGCCTTTGCTTATTTTTTTAATTGGGTTTCTTGGTCTGACAGCTCTGGTATTCCCAATTGTTCCCCTATCTAGTCCTTCAGGAACTAGACAAGATCGTTTAGGAGTTGACAAGGGTTGTGAAAAGTGTATGGGATAACTTTCTATGTATAATTAAAACAAAATGAAATACATGCTATGATAGTTTCAATGCAGACTGGCCCCCGTACAAACTGGGTGGTATATCCATTTTTAAAACAATAACAATTCCTTACCCCATTCAGGTTTAAAAATAATTTAACCAAATATATAGTGGCATATTATCATATGAATGCACATAATATGAAATGGGTGTGGAAAAGCAACGCAAATTATTTATTGTG